GGCCTTAGGCCATCCTCTGCTGCTTTCCCAGGCCATAAGCAGGCAGCTAGCTCAGAAGTAGAGCAGTCAGGACTCAAACCAGCATCCATATGGAATGCTAGTGCCGCAAGAGTAAAATTATCTTGCTATGCCACCACATCCATTTTTTTTTTAAACTAGGTGGTCTGATAGTTTCAGGACTTCAATTACAGATCATTACCGGTTTGTTAATATAGCACAAATTCCCATTGAAAGAAGGATTTACTCTTGGTATGGTGTTAAGGAATTTGCATCAGTGAAGACCTGAGCAAGACGCAGGTTGGGTGATAGCAGGACTAACTATGCCTTTTGTTTCCCAGTCAGAGGCTTGATGGGCGTTTCGTATTTCACTTAGTGTGATCTGTCACGTGTTGTGCTTTTAGTTTCATGTTATTTTATGCAGTTTGTTTCAATGTTTTTTTTTTCTATCTCACATAATTTTTTTCTTTGTTTTCATACAAAACAGTTTAAAGCCCAAGGAAGACATCTTTAGTTATTTCATTTGGTTATTTCAGTGTGAACTGTTAGAGTAAAGCCATTCATACTTAAATACCTAAAACTCTGTATCTTTCTTTCTGGGTGTTTCTTTGAAATTTAAATGGAAAGAGGTAGTGCAGAGGTGACACGAAGGTCTCTGTTGTACAGATTTGTGATAGGTAGGCTGGGAGTCAAACTAAGGCCTACCAGGAACTCTGCAGAACTTGGCCAACATCAACAATATTAATTGTCATGATTTTTCGGAACATTTTGATTTCAACTCTTTTCTTGTTCAAAGGCAAGCAGTTTTAAATGAATTAATTTTCCAAAAAGAGATACTCTTCTAATGTAATTGGTAAACAGCCTCTGAAATAAACAGTAATGATTTCATATGAAAACATTAACTGTTAAATACTTCAGGTGATTGATTTACCATTTGAATCTTTAAGTATTTAAAAATACATGTTCACCTTTCACAGATTGCAGCCAGTGAGAATCAAATACTGCAAGTGGGAATGTGCCAGGCAAATTTGTATAATAAAATAATGTTACAGTCACTTTGTAGACAATGAGACATGTATTACAGTGAGTTTCATAAAGTTAGCAATTGAATATAGAACCTGAAACTGTGAATCCAAAAGCATATCAGCATGTGTGTGTAATCTTGTCTGTTACTTGCAGATATTTGCATATGAATGTACACACATTGTATTTCATCAAGAAGAGTTTTATTTAGTTACTTATTTGGAAGGCAATGCAACAGGGACAGATAGAAAACTCTTCCATCTGCTTGTTCACTCTTCCAGTGCCCACCAAAACCAGGGCTGTGCCAGGCAGAAGTCAGGGACCAGGAACTCCATTTGGGTCTGCCACTGGGTGGCAGGGGCCCAAGCATTTGGGCTGTCATCCAATGCTTTCCCTGCTGCATCAACAGGGAACTAGATCAGAAGCAGAGCAGCTAGGGCTCAAACTGGCACTCTGATATGGGCTTCCAGCATCACCCTCTGAGCTGTATTTAGAGTAAAAAGGAGTGTATAAACAACTGCTCAAAAATCTCGTGACTTTTACATAGAACAGATGTAAATTTGAGAAGTGAGCCTCAAACAAAGTCAAAGGAAGCATCTTGGATTTTGAAGGACAATGTTACGTGGTCAACCCATCTTCCTGCAGTAGAAGTGATAAGTATAATGTGTGATTCTCTCTGTGTCATACAAAGTTTCTCTCCCTCTGTGTGTGATCTTTGTGTTCTAATGAAAAGCACAATTCTGAAAGCAGAAGGTAAATAATCAGCCCTTGATGTTTTCTCCTGGTGCTTAACTCCCCGCCACGAAGCTGTTTGCTATGAACAGGAGTTCCCTGTGCCAGGCCGGGGCAGGGGAGGTGCCATTCTGTATCAGAGGGCAGTTGCACTTTATCTTGCATCTGTCCATGAAGTTACAGCTTTGCTTAGCTCTTTTCCCTAAATGGCATTATGGTCTACCCTCTGAACCTGGCATCCACTCTGCAGGAGACAGAACTCTACTCTGTGTACCAAGGGTCAGGCATCAAGGTACCAACAGAGATTTAAAAACACAAAAATACCTGGAATGGAAAAACTAGATGTAGCCTCGTGCAACAATATCCAGAAAGCCTGAAGAAAAAATTATTATCTTCAGAGGGTTGTCTCAATGGAATATTTGGGATTCATAGTGAAGGCAGTGGCTATATAGGGACATGGGAATACTAGCAGGTGGCAGCAGAAGCACCCAGAGGTGCCAGCAAAGCAGCCTGTTGGGAATGTGAAGGAGTTGGAGGGCACACACTGGGATTACGCCTAAGAGCACAGCAGTCCACAAATTACTTGAATGATTTTCTTAATCCTCACACATTTAGTAGATAGCCATTACCAATCTGAACACATACAAGAGAAAATCAGTTATTATACACAGTGTCCAGGGATTTTTGGTTTAATTTTATCCGAGAACTCCAACTGAGAGTTCTGGCCTTGCCTCTAGATAATGAAGATGTGTGGAAAACATTTAAGTGGAAGTGTGACATGATATAATTATGTTTTAGGATAACTTAAGTGACAACTATGTTCAGGATAGTTTGAGAATTTAAGATTTTCTTCAAAAAAGTGAAAGGTAATGAGCAAAATTAAATGAAATCAGAAGAAAGTGATGAGTTCACAGGATTCATTAATTCTCTCATTGGAAATAATTACTGTAGCTACCATGTAACTCCTAGATGAACAAAAATAGACATAACCACTAATTGTGACATGGGGAATCAAGCAGTAAGTAAACGAACACAAATCCTGTGAATTCCCAGTAAAGAGAAATGATATTAAGGAAAATTCTTCAATGCATGTGCTTGATAGAAAGTCCTATAGCATAATTTTATGTGCTTGGAGAAGCAGTTAATACCAGCACAAATGAAGTTTTATACTTGTAGATTAAGTTTGGGATGTGTTTTATCATTAGAAGATTAGCAGATACTTTGTTTTTTATAGGTGTTAATTCATTTCATTTAGTTGAAAGGGAGAGAGAGACAGGTGAGAGGGTAAGAGTGGGTAAGAGACAGAGGTCCATCTGAGTTGTTTACTCTCTTAATGCTGGGCCAGGCTTGGGGCTCCGAAGAGATGGCAGGAACTCTATTGCTTGAGTCAACTTTTTGTGCCTCCCAGGGTACACATGAACAGAAAGTTGGACTGGAAGTGGATCCAGGACTCAAACCTTGGCACTCCAGTATAGAAAATGAGTGTCTGTCTCAAGTGATGATGTCCACAGCAGATATTTTAAATCAGAACCTAAGATAGTGATTGCCATCTGCCAGCTCCTCTTCTTGATCACAGTAACTGCATCTCACTGATGGGTCACACCGTGTTCACTCAATTCTAACCTTGCTGCCTTCATCCAGTGAACTTTAAAAGCTGTTGTTTGGGGCAGGTGTTCAGTTAGGACGTTGTCTGGGACTCTGTTATCCCACATCCATGTGTCTAGGTGGAGTTTCATTTCTACTTTAGCTTCCAACTTCCTGCTGGCAGGTACCCTTGAAGGCAGCAGGTGATGGCTGAAGCACTAGGGTCGCTGAAATGCTCTGGGCACCTAGATTGAGCTCAAACCAGGCAGGCATTTTTGGAGTGAACCAATGGTGAAAGATTTTTGTCTGTTTCCCAAATAAAATGAAAATAAATAGACATTTAAGAAAAATAAAAGCTGTTTGAGTCTTCTAGCCCAATCCTTACTAAAGATTGCTTTGATGAAAGTTTTTATAATTCTTCCATGGAGTATAAACACAAATAAACAGATTTTCCCACTTAGTCGGTTGTGATTGTACCTGCATAACTAATGCATTTTATCTACTCCGTCTATATTGTGTTGTTCACTGAAGAAGATCCTACTTGGGCATGCCTGGGTGAATTTCCCTAAGTTGACAAAAGAGCAAACCTACAGCTGGAGCTCATATGAAAGTAATGTAAGTGAATAGGAGCTGAAATGAAAGCAGTGCAATTTTTAAAAAGTCAAAATGATTGTTAGAAGTCAGCTTATCAAAGATGGTTCAGGAATGTTTCTTCAACATATACCCTTTATTAAAATATTTTCTTCAGGATGGTTTTTTTTGGAAAGGAGGGTGGGGACAGAGAGTGAGTTCTGATAAACTGAAGGTCTCTTTAAATGCCTACGATAGCCAAGTCTGGGCCAAGTTCATTCTGGGAGTCTGGACTCGATCTGAATTTTCCACACAGGATGCAGGGACCATATTACTTGTGCTATCACTCTCTTCCTCCACAAGAAGCATTAACAGGAAGCTAGAATCTGAAATAGAGCCAGGACCCATACCCAGGTAGTTACAGATGGGATGTGTTACAAGTGACTCCTTAGCCGTCATGTGCAACATCCACTCCCTAACAATATATGATTAACATGCAGTGCTTGGACGCCTTTCTGGAGCACAACAACATTTACTCAAAGCATGCAGCATAAAGTGAGCTGAGCAGGCCAAGCATCCCCACCCTTCCACACTTCCTGAGTGTTCAGAGCCTATCTAGCTTTTTTCCAGTTCTTAGTGTAGCGTGTAAGCATGATTGTGATCTGTTTTGCCCCACTGAGCTGTATAACACTAGGACCTGTTATTTGTATCTGCTTTTTTTTTTAAAGGATTTATTTATTTGAGAAGTAGATTTTTAGAGACTCAGAGATGGAAACAGAGAGCTGTCTTTATCTGCTTGTTCACTCAAATGGCTACATGTGCTGAGGATGGGAGCCTGAAACACATCCAGATGAGCCATGTGGATGGCAGGGGCCCCAGGAATGGAACCATCTCCTGGCTTCCCAAGTTTGAATGGCAGGGGCTTGGACTGGATTGGGTGCTGGTGTTGCACAGAGTGGCTTAACCTGTTACCTGCTGGGCTGCAATGTGAGCCCGTTTTTCTGTGTTTCAGTAGTCTTTATGTACCCTCTCTCTGTTCCTATCCCTGCACTCTCTGCCTCTAATAATCATTATCTAAGTTCAGGCGCTTTTTTTTGTGTGTGGCTATACATTTATTTAACACAAAATAATTTCCTCCTCCAAATATACTGAGTTGGCTGCCCACGTCCACGACCAAATCCAGCTCTAACCTGGAACTCAGTTGCTGACCCAGCCCCATCCTCGGCTTTCTTGTCAGCACCCGGAGGGCACAGCACTCCATCTGTGTCTCTGCTGGCTTCTCCTTGTGTGAGCCCGTCAGATGGCTCTCCCTCCAGGCCTTTGGGCCAAGGCCTGTCAGTCTCTGGCTGGCTGCGGTGCAGGGTGGTGGGCACAATCTCGGGCGGCAGGTGCAGGTAATCGTGGAGATACTGGGTAACCTTGTTGGGGAGGTACCAGACGAAGTGTCTCCAGGCAAACTGGTCCTTCCTGTAGCCTTGGGACTTGAGGGACTGCATGGCCTTCATGACGTGCAAGCTGGGTATGCTCTTGTCTGACAGCTTCCGGTGCTTGGGCATGTGGACACCCTTCTTGGCCACCATCACTCCGTCCTTGAAGAGGAGATCATAGATAACAATCTGGTTCTTGGGCATCAGCATAGCAGTTGCTGAGGCAGTTTTAAAAAAAACATTCCTGTATGAACATTTCCGTTAAAATTTAGTACCAAGATAAAAGTCTCATTAGCAAGTTTTTGTGGTTTCCCAGTTTTAAAATTGAAACTTTTATCTTAACTTCAAAGAAGGCCAGAAACAATTTTGATGACAAATGATGACCTTTGTATTTGCTTCCTCTGTTAGCAGCCCTAATTATCTTTTGTTTAGTTGATCATATTGTGTGAAGGTCCTATTCTCTTAGCTCCTTCGCATAAAGAACTTCTGTTTTAACAAGTCCTCCTACGATTAACTGGAGATTTCTCATTTCTTAGTCTCTAGTAACTTGAGTCTCCACATGCTACAGAAACTGGCAGCATGGGGAGGAACCAAAGACGATAACTTCACCTTGCCTTCAGTGAGCAGACCGCAGCTTGAACAAGCGTTTGGGGAATGAAGTTCATTAACTAGAACAATGAGCATTCCAATCCCATTTTTGTTGTTCATATTTTTTCTTAGAGCACCGGGTGCCCCCTGGGCAGAATCAGCAAAGCAAATGTGGAGCTTTTCAAAGCCTAAAAGTAAATGTGAAAATACATCTGAAAATGTGCAGGTCATTCTAGATCTTATATGGACGATATATCAGAATTTTAGTTTTCGAGGCTGTAAGTGTTGTGAGATAAAGGCCCATAAATGTCGGGACTAACAAGGAAGGATTTGGAAAAACAAATGGCTGAACCGCTCTTAATGAATCCTGTTGAAAAGGATGACACTGCTCAAGACAGTATAAGCAGAAATCTGTTAAACTGTAGGATGTGTTTGAAACCATGGGATTTAGTGAGGTCCAAATACAAGAAAGCTGTTTACATAACATGGTAGGCAAGAGCTAATTGTGCTTGATTGTCGTCCAGCCTCTCTGATCGTTGCTCAGCAGCCAAGAGCCTTGTCTTCTGTCTCCCTTGTCCATGCCCTGCCCTCAGCTGTCTCCCAGGCAAGCTGCTGGCAGGACACAAGGCAGAGAGTCCAAACTACAGCGTGTGTCTGCTGGTTGTATGCCTCCCATTAAAGAAAACCCACAAGATTTGGAACCACTCATTCTATTCTCATGTAAGTATAAAATTTCCCTTTTATCAAGGATCAGATTGGGAAGCACCAACCACTCCTGGCTCTAACTCCAAAGCCATCAGAGGGCATGTCTAATCTTAGATCTGCCCATCGTTTCTTTAAAGGTTTCGTATAAATATAACAAAGCCACATTAAATGGTATCTGGCTTTAGTCTCCAGTGGAGAGTGTTTGTCACATAATGCTGGATGGGACTAGTTTCTCTCTAAACTGTCATAATAGAGACCGCCAGGATTTGAGTCCTCACCATCATCTGATGGTGTGCTTTGATTGCAGTGCATATGTGTGGTGAATCAGGTGACTGCCATGTTTCCACCAGCAAGATGGTTACTCCTGTTTCCCATGCAGGCAGTTGATGGAGGCTTTGGACTGCAGCTTTGGACCTCACTCGAGGGCCTCCACATGATTTGATCATGAAGTCTGTGTTTAAAAATTCTACATCTCTTTGTGTAAACCACGAGCATGTGCCTTTTTCTCAACTATGTTAGTCTGGGTACATTCCACTGTTCTTTAAAGCTAATAGTTATGCTGTGGAAACGCCCGTTAGGATCCTCTGTGCAGGTTCTGGAGAATCTGTTTTACATGAAGATGAAGAGGCAGGTGGTTAGATGAGGCAGGCCCTTCTTGCAGCTTCACGCAGCACAGACTGCAGTGAGAAGCTGCCTGCTTTGTCAGTTTTCAGGAAAAGGTACCAGACAGATGTACCCAAGGCATCCTCACATGACTCAGATCTTCAGGTGAGGCTAAGGAGTATTTAAAGATTCAAGGAGCAAAAGCTAATATTATTAATGATAAAAATCAGTACATATCATACATGTATATTTTGTAGTATATAACATAAATATGATAGATGACATATGATATATACAGAAACGTGCCAAGCAGAAAAAAGTACAAATTAATAGTTACAACTTAAGACAATAGAAATGCTTAAAGATTAATGTGGGGGAGCTGACATGGTGGCATAGCAAGCTAATCCTTCTTGTGTTGCACCAGCTTCCCATGTGGGCACCATTCCGGGTCATGGCTGCTCCATTTGTGCTCCAGCTCCCTGCTTATGGCTTGGGAAAGCAACAGAGGATGAACCAAGTCCTTGTGCCCCTGTACCCATGTGGGAGACCTGTATGTAGTTCTCGGCTCCTGGCTTGACCTGGCCTGGGTTCTCTCCAATTGTTGTGATCATCATTTGGAGTGTAAACTAGAAGACAAAAAAAAAAAAAAAAAAGAGCTCTTTCTGTCATTGACTCTCCCTCTCTCTCTAATTTTGCCTTTCAAATAAATTAATTCAAGAAAATGATCTTCTCAGTATACTTCCCTTCCAGAGTCTTTTAATGGTTTGGGATATATTTATCCAACCCTTCTCTGAGCTCTCATATATTTTCTATATTTCATTCTGTTCTTAAACAGTACATTTTGAAGTGATTGAAGTGATGGTGGGACTTGCTGTTTCTACAAAAACTCTGTTAATCTCGTAACAGTGTGCTGTGACTTTTTAAAATGTTGGGTAATCTGATGTGTTGAAAAGTATGTTTCATTGTGGCTGCATCACCTGGAAAACTAGCAATGTGAAACCTTCTTGTCTTTAATAGATCTTTGTCTGGACTTCCTTGTAGCTTGCTTGCTAATATCTTGCTAAATTTTCTGTTAGCCTCTTTTATTTGCTCTTATTAATTAGATTAACTGTGTGTGTATTCACAGTGTATCTTAGCTTTTTATTTGTTGTGCTCATTCTTAGCGCTTTTCTAAGATCTATTGTTTATCTTTTGCTTTTATTCATAGAAGGCATGTTATTATTATTTGGTATTATCATTAGATAGAGATGTTAGGATCCCCTTAATAAATTATAAAGTTTTTTGTAGAAAATGATTTCACCATCAGTGTAATGATTTTTTTTTTTTTTGAGATGGAGGTTTTCATGTAAAACATTAGCTAAAAAAATTGCTGGTCTTAAATGATGAATTGGAATTCTTTCCTAGAACCTGGAAATAGTAAATTAAGCATGTGTGTGTGTGAGATTGTTGTGGTACAGTAGGTTAATCCATCCCATGTAGGGGTGTCAGTATCCATCCCATACAGGAGTGCCTGATTGGAGTCCAGGCTACTCTGTGCTGTCAGTCCAGCTTCCTACTGATGTACCTGGGAGGCAGTGGGGATGGCTTCCTGCTACCTGCTTAGGACACTTGGATGGCATTCCTGGTTCCTGGTTTTGGCCCAGCACAGACCCAGCTATTGTTGCCATTTGGGAAGTGAACCAGAAGATCTTCCTCTATTTCTCCCTCTCTTCGGTTACTCTACCTTTCATGTGAATAAATAAATAAATCTTACAATGATTAGACTACTTAGAGACCAGTAGTCTAGACAAGATGTTTACATCCCAAGTCGGAGTACCTATGTGTGCTTTCCCATCCTGGTTCTTGATTGCGGCTTCCTGCAGTATAGCCCTGGGAGGTACAGCTGCAGGTTCCAGTAGAAACCTGTTACCCATTTGCGAGACTTGGATTGAGTGCTGGGCCCTTGGCTTTGGCCTTTCTGAGTCTTTGAGGGCATTTGGGGAGTGAATCACCTGTCGGTGTGAGCTCTGCAAACTCTTTCTCTTTTTTATTGCCATTTTTGGGGGAATTTTATGGTACATTTATGTAGGGTCTCAGATTCCCGTCCTGCCCCCCAATTCCTACCTCTTGATGGATTTTCCCCATATTGTTACAACCGTGTAGTGCTTCACAACAGGTTATAATTTCATCAGTCTGTTATTTAAGTGTGCCCTAACATCGCTGGTACAGACAATATCAGGCAGTCCATCTTTCCATTGTCTAGATATGAACAAACACAATCATTGGGAGTGCACCTTTGACTTGGAAGTAGGAATGCGTGCTGTATTGTATCTTCCCATCTGGATTTGGTAGTCTCTATTGCTCCATCACTACAGACTCTTTTGCAGAGGTGAGTCAGCAAGTTTTAGGGGGCAGGACAGTTCTCTTGTGGCAAAGAATTTGGTGACGTCAACCCTTCTGTCAAAGTGTTGGGAGAGAGCTTCTCTGATTTTCTTCCTAGGGTTTGGGTTGACTGCCACGCCCTGGTCTTTGTACTACTTTCCTTCCCTGGGGGCCACAAGTGTTTATACACCTGAGTAAATAGAAAAGAGCCATTCATCCTCCAAAGACTCCAAGACTTGGGACTGCTCAGGAACATCTCTTGACGACCCAGTAGGATTTGTGACCTTGCATCCCTGGTGCTCTAGCAGCCTCCTTGCCAGGGTGGATCCCTGGTCCCACACAGGGTGCTGAGAGCAAGAACTCACAGTTGATTAGTATGTCCTGGTTGCACAGAACTGGCTTCCATAATTAGGTGCAGCTTGTTAAGGTAAAGACATCTTTTGTGGTAGTCTTTTAAAAAAACCTTTGTCTCCCTTTAACACACTTGGGAATAAAATGCAGCCAAATATTATGTGTCTGCTTCTTGCAAATGAAATGCAACATAAAATAGAAAAAGAGAGAACATTTTTATGCGAGTAATTTTGTAATTTACAGGCTGACCCACTTGGAGTTCAATTTCTTAATAAGCTAAATCATGTTTTGCTGTCCTGCTGAGCATCTAATCATAATCATAGAAGTAGTTTTTCTGCTCTTCTTGATGCCACTTGCCCCGGATGGAACGCCCCTGCCTTGGAAGCAGCGCAGTGCTAAGGGCCCTGGCCGCCCCTTGCATTCCCCCGGCCTTTTGCAGAAAAGCTTCTCACTCTAACTCAGGATCGTTGCTAGGGTCTCAGCTGCCGTTTCCTCAGCACCATCTGTAGATCAATATTCTGTGAGAATTTATATGGATTCCAAGTCAGAAATCAGCCCAACGGGCTGGAGTATTTAGTTTTTAAGAGGAAAGAAAATCATTG